TACTATATATATATATATATATATATATATATATATCCGATCCATTTTTTTTTTTTCTGTTACCCTTGGATCCCTAGATGAATCCAACAATATCAAAATATGATCAAACTCATATCAACAAAATCTGCTCTGACATGTTCGCACCCCAAAAACACACATACATTTTGTGAAACTAGGTGCCATGATAGGTGCCTTTCATTGATTTGCTATGAGAAGTAATGCCAAAGATTGAATATTTCCTAAACAATTAGATGGAGTGTGAAACTAGATGTTCGAAATTAAATAAGAAACAAGTATCTAGAGGAAATTGATACATGCAAAATCAATGGAAAGTACAAAAAATTGCAATGTATTCTTAATAAAAGCCACCAAGAAGAAGAGTAAAAAATGATGCTCGTAACTGTTGGAATTTTGTGGCCTTTCAAGGCCTTGACACTCTTGTACTTAAATCTCTTTACACAATGGATTTAAGTCTTCAATGGGAGCATACTCCTCTACTAGGCGAACAGTTCTTCAAGCAGGGAAGTAGGGATTTGGCTTGGAACCAAATGACTGTTGGGTTTATGTAGTCATTAAAGGCCTTATGAAAGCTTATATAAGCATTTTATATAATAAAATATAAACTCAGTAGGAGTGTAGTTCTCTTATGAACCCTATTAAAAAAATGTTATTTGTCGATACTCAAACTCTGCTCGACGTGTTAGGTCAGTCGAGTTGAAAAACTCAAAGTACCTGGGCATAGAGATAAACCAATGAAGGTTCAGTAGGTCATCCATCGATGAGGTCGGAGTTGCCCAGATGAGTGAGTGGAGGGACTGTGTGGCCATTGTGTGTGATGATTGACCTTTAGAGACTGGGTTAAAGCTTTATCCTTGAACCATCACATGATATGTATATAGATAACCGTATCGAGATAGCAATCCACCATTGATGGTGAAGCATATACATGTGCCAGAGATTACTCATATGCAACATGGAGTAGTGGTTGCTTTATGCTCTAAGGACTATGGATTTGTCTCTAGGGGAGAACCTGTAGTCCATAAATTAGGATTGTGTCCCTTAGCCTATTGTTGACTTTAGTAGTCTAATCATGAACCCCTATAATAGACTGTGGGTTACGGGAACTGTTGGGTCAGTTTGAGAAAGCTAGTGAGGATCGTAGTTCACAGTTGCAGGTGGAGTGCTCTAGTATATTCATAATTTCTAAACCTATATGGATCCGATTCCCATAAAAATTAATTAGTTTTAATTAATTTTATGTTATATGATTTTTAAAATGATTATTTGAATTTTTATTATTCTCTTGATATTTTATTTTTATCATTTGGATTTATAAAATAAGAGAAAATCAATTATCAATGTTTTAAATATCGAAGAGAAATAAGTTCTATTTTTAAATTTTACAAAGCGATTTAAATGTTTACTAAAATATGAGGGACCATCACGATGGGTGGGGCCATTTAAATTAAAGCACATGATAGAATTGGGTGGGGCCCATTAGGGGCCACCTAGGGTGGCCCGCCCCACCCATGGAAGGTTGGCTTATCATATTTCGTTCAAAGCCAGATTGGCTAGTTGGCTTTCTATATTTTTATATAAAGCCTCCTTAGCTTATGAATAAATATAATGAATATAATATGTCTTGTGAATCAAGATATTTTGATTGAATGAATAAGGAATGAATATCCATAAAAAGAGAAGGTATGAGTATATTTGTCTTATTTGAATATTTGATATGAATAGCCTTAGAAAATTGAAGGATAAAGTCTAATACCTTCATTTGAATCTTGATGGTGGATTTAAGGAATGGAAGATTTACATCTCTCACCCCACAAGTCTCATTAGATCAATGTTATAGATTTAATCTCACTAAAGATGACAAACCCTAAGTATTAGGAATCTATAAATAGTGGTTCTCTCTCCCTAAATCTCTACACCTCTCCTCTTCTCTCTTCTCTCTCTAAAGCTCTATCTACTCTCTCTTTAGGGGGCACATCCCACCAAAGGTTTCTCTCTCTAATATTTTTTTTCTCTCTCATTAAAAGGTTGTAAAGGGG